TTATTTTTTTTTCTTTCCCTCCTTGTCCACTCCTCCCCCCCCCAACCTGCAGGCGGAAATAAATTCGATTTATTTGCATCGTTTTCAACTTGTCTTCAAGGTGTTTGAGAGCTAGTTTGGCACTGGAGAGGTGAGTGCTTTTCTAGGCAGCGGCCGCGCTCGGGTTCGCTCTTCCGAACTTCAGGGATTTTCACTTCTCCCTTTCTTTCCGCCGAGGGGAGGGGAAGCTCGAGCTCTCTCTCTCTCGCAGTTGAGAGAAACCTTTCTCGTCGTTGCTTTTGCTTCTTTTTCAAGGCAAACCCCCCCTGTGCTTTCGGGGATGCTCGGAGCACACGTGCGGAGCGGGGCCGGCCGCGCTCCCCGCGTGCTTCCGCGGCTTCCCCGCACCGTCGTGCCCGCCTGCTCCATCTCCTTTCCCCACTTTCCCCTCGGATTTGCACCTTTCGGAGCAGAGCCCAGGCCAGGGGAAGGGCTCCTCGGAGCCGCCGCTGCCCTCTCGCCCCAGGCCGGGGCTGGGGCCGCTCCTGCGGCCGCCGCCTTCCCCGCGGGGGGAACCAGCGCCCGCTTTGCTGCCTCGTTTATTTGTGTTTGGAAGGGCTCCACTGCTCCTTTCCCCTCGAAAAATAATGAAATATGGGACAAGCTTCGCTCTGTTTGTTTAAGTAGCATTCTCTGGCTTATTCTCTGCGGCTACAAGTGCAGTTATTTTATTATTCTTATTTGCAAGCGTTTACTGTTGGCTGTTTCTTCTCAAGTAGCTGTTGGGACTGGCGTGCACATGGGAAGGGTTTGGGAGATGCCAAACTACACCCGCAGATTCACCCCCCTCCCCAAGAGCCGCTCGCCCCCAGACTTTCCCCTTCCTCACCTCAAACTTTCAGAGGGCTCCGGTGTTATCGCGCCCTGCGAGAGCTGGGAGCGAGGGTGGATTTGCTGAAAACTTCCTCGAAACGAAAAAAAAAAAAAAAATTGTCTGAGAGGCAGAAAAGAGGGAGGGATATTTTCTTTTTTTTTTTTTTTTTTTTTTTTTTGATGGGTGGGGGGACGGGACAGAGCGGCGAGCAGAGGGTGGGGGCAGCAGCAGCAGCAGGAGGAGGAGGAGGGTGGGCAGAGCAGATCTGAACCATGCCATTTATTCCGAGTCTTATCAAAAATCCGCCTCGCCAATCTGGTTCTCTTCAGCCTGCAGAATGCGACAGGGAGGCTGTTTACCCTGCGCTGACCTATTCAACTTTACCCTCCCAATAATACATTAAAAAAAAAAAAAAAAAAAAAAAAAAAAAAAAAAAAAAGGAGAGCGAAGGAAGATGCAGATAAACCCCCAGCCCCGCTCCTCGCTGACGGCTTGATTATTTGAGCTCCGGGGGGCTGCGGCCCTGGGCCGTGGCTGCGAGGCGAGGGGTGAGGAAGAGGATGGGAAAGGGCAGGGGAAGGAGCCTGGATGCGGCCACAAGCGGGGACAAGGCCACAGCCCCGCGCACACACCCCGCGGCTTTCGGTCCCGCTCCGCAGCGTTTTTCTGGGGGGGTTGTACTCATTAGGAAAAGCTATTTTAGGGGAACACCCCCCACCCCCAATAAAAGGCCTCTGTGAGCACCAGCAAATTTAGAGCTGGGTTTAAATCCACACCTCTGGGCTGCCTTTGAGGGCGGGAGGGGGGAACTGGGGGTGGTGCGAGGTTAGCGGAGCCAGCGATTTATTTTAGCGGGGAGGGGGGGGGGGCAGGATATTCCCAGACGCTGAATTTTCTCTTTGGTTGGGAGAGATGGATGGAGGAGGGAGGGAGGGAAGGAGGGAGGGAGCGGGGAAGGAGGTAAAGGAGAGGGGGAGGGTTGCTGGGGAGTTTGATGATTGTCTTTGTGCCTTGTTCTTGTTTGCCGGCCAGAAAAATAGGCTGGAAAAGGAGGTTTGGGGGGGAGGGGGCGGGAGGGAGGGCTGTGGGAGAGGGAGTCTCTCCGGAGCAGGATCCCAGCTGGTTGGGCACTGGGTCCCGGCACTTGGCGAACGGAGCTGGACGAGCCCACGTCACCTCCGTGCTCCGCTCGGCTCCTCCGCGCTCCGCGCCCGGCTCCGCGCACAGCGGCAGCGCCGCGAACCTGCCCGGAGGAGCGGGGGTTACCAGCCGGCAGAAACTTTTTTTTCTCTTCTTATTTTTATTTTTTTTTTTCCCAAGAGGGTGCTGTTTTCTTTTTCCGCTCTTTCGCCCTCTCGCGCTTTTTTTTTTTTTTTTAATTACTATTTTTAATTTTTAAGTTATTTTTAGGTGGGCAGCAGCAAGAGTGGGCTGGGGAGAGCTGCATCAGATCAGGCTGAGAAAAGGGTGGGGGTGGGGGCTTTATCTTGGTCTCAGGATCCTTTCTAGTGCGTCTGACAACCTGGAAGTGTTTGGAGAGAGCAGGAGAGAGAGAGAGAGAGAGAGAAGCAGGCTTGCATTGGATAGACTTTTTTCTTCCAGGCTGGGTTTTCACATGCTGATCCGCAAATATAAATAAATAAAAGGAAATATGCACACGAGAAGCCTGATCCCATTGTAATTTCCATTGCAAACGGGGGAAATAGAGCCACACATTATATATGTGGAGATGCATTGATTGCATGGAATTCAACGAGCAAGGTAACGGCTCTTCCATTGCCATGTCTGTCCGTCGGGGTCTGTCCTTCCTGTGTGCGGGTGCGGGAGCGAGGCAGAGCGAGAGGCGCTGCCCGGGGGCACCGCGGAGCTGCGAGGCCTCGGGAGCCTCGGGGAGCGGGGGCTGCTCTGCCCGGCGCCCCCTCGGGCTGGGGGTGGGGGCCGGGGCGAAGTCGGAACAAAAGCAGAGGGTGGTGATTTTCATTTTAATTTTTTTTTTTTTTTCTTAAATTTCCCCCCTTGTGTTTTTTTTTATCTCCCGCAAACCCACTCGGCGCTACTTTAGCAAAGCGAGATGCATTTTTCATCCAGCCACGGCGGCCTGGTTCTGTCAAGCTCCATTTCTTCTCAGACGCTCTTTTAAGGGGAAAAAAAAAAAAAAAAAGGAAATTAGAAGCCACGGACCGCCAAATGCTCTTAGTTGTGGGGTTATTTTTTGTCGTCACACCCTCTGTTTTTAAAATTATGATTATTTTTATATCTGCTTAATTATGTCTGGGCGCGGAGAGCATCGAGGAGGCTTCGCCGGGCTGGGCTGGGCTGCCGTGGCTGGGTCCCTCTTTGTTTTAATAAACATGCTTTAGGGGTTTTTATTATTATTTTCCCTCGCTCTACCCCCTAACATTGCCAGCTCTGGGGGAATCATAGCTCCAAGCTGGAGAGAAATCGATTAAAAAATGCATAAGCGGCACTTCCCAAGGAAAAAAATAAAACCCAAACAAACAAGACACCACAACAGTCCAGGGAGGAAAAAAAAAAAAAAAAAAAAAAAAAGGAGGAGGAGGAGGGGAAGAGAAAAGCCTTAAATGGTCCCTGGAGCTGCGGCTCTGCCCCCACGGGCTGGGCCCGGGCCCGGCGCAGCGGCTCCCGCAGCCCCCGCAGCGCTCCCGCTTCGCCCTTGGCTCTGCGAGCTGGGAAAAAACCCTTTGGGAAGGGAGGGAAGGAGGGAGGGATCGGGCACGGACCGTGTCTGCACGAGCTGCAGCTCCAGAGCTGCGGACCTGGAGTCCCCTCGCTTTTTGTACTTTTAAATTATATATCCGTCCGTGTGTGTGTTGCCCACCACTAGCGGGGAAGATAATTTTCTCCCCCCTCCTTTCCACTCACAATTTTCCTTCGCTTTTAAAGGAGAATTGCCCTTTTTTTTCGCTCTCTCTGCTTGATTTTTAACAGCTTTCAAATATCGTTGCACGGCGAAGAACTCATTTAAAAACATTCTCATGTATTTAAACCCAATATTGCCTCCATATGGTTGGCCTTTCAAAACTGAATCCCCTTCTTTGAAACATGCAAGAAATATTTTTTTAAAGCAGTTAAAACTCTAAACTCCTTAAGAACAATAAAAACCTAACAGATAATTCAATTGCTTTTATCTTTTTGGGGTTTGGTTTTTTTTTTTATGTTGCTATGAAACTTTTACCATTCCTGATAGAGCCTTTAAAGCTAAGTCAAAATACAGCTTTTAAAACTCACTGCGGTTACTCGCATCAGATATAAACCATGTAATTTTTTAGCTCGTTTTCTCTGCTGGTGCAGTTTTATCCTGAATATTATGGCTTAGTTCGCTCCAGTCCCAATTCCAGCCCCTGTTCACCAGCCCGAGTCCTCGTTACCTCGCACAGCGTTTGTCCGATTGATTTATTTGCACTTTTAGATTTTAATTTTCTCGTCCATCCTTTGTTTTTCTTGTAACTGCCCGGAGTAAGAGAAGAACTGGCATTTACATTTTTTCATTTGTTATAAGAGTTGTAAGTTGAATTTTCCTTGGGAATTGGGTGCTAGAAGCGGCCTCGTGTGTCAGTGATGTTTTCCTGCTCGAAACTGGAGCGGGGTGAAAGCTTCCACTTCCCTGGGAAGAAAGTTGGGACTTTAAACCCCCTGGGCCTTGGCGAGCCCGGAGGAATTGGAGGTGGCCAAGCCTCGGGGGAGGCTCTGGAGCCCTCACCTCGAATCCCCCGAGCTCCAGAGTCATTTGTGCGATGAGCTGCGTGTTCCAGAGCCCCTCGGGTGCCTCGCTCCCCGCGTGCTGGAGGCAGCCCTAAAACGCGCTGTTTACCTTTCGCAAAAGATGCATTCAATAATACCGCCTCCCCCTTCCCCTCCCTCTCCACCCCCCCGAGCCCCCCCCAAATCCTATCATCCCTTGCGGGCTGCGATAATAAATAAAAGTCTTTATTTCTCCCTCTCCCGAAGTTAAAGGGCCTCGCTCCCTTCCCTGGGCAGCTGGAAGTGAGTGTTGGGATGGTCGGGGCAGCCCCGGCCGGCGCTCGCTCGGAGCCACCCCGCTGCATAAATATCTATATTTTATTAAACGTCAGCATTGACTCGAGCGTCTCTTATCTCTGCTCTCTCCCGATGTGTGCCTGCAGTGGGGGATTCGGCCAAGGAAGCTCGTAACATGGCGGATAGCGAGGAAGGCTTCGGGCTGCCCAGCACGCCGGCCGATCCGGAGGCCAAGGAGCTCCAGGCTGAGGCCAAGCAGGACACGCAGCTGGGGGCCACCAGCAAGTCGCCCACCTCACCGCAAGCAGCCTTCACCCAGCAGGTAAGCACCCACGCTCCTCTCCTTCCACCCCGCCACTCTTTCCTTTGGTTATTTCCCCCTTTTCTCCACGTTTTGCCCCTGTCTCGGCTGGGTGGCTGGCTTATTTTAGGCCCCACGCGAGGGCGAAGCCTCACCTGGCCGTGGGCTCTGTCCTGCTTTAGTGTTATTTAAGGTCGTGCTCGAGCGCTAAAGCTGCAGGGATGTGCCCGTGAGAGTTTTGGGGGTGTGGAAGAGCAGGCAGGGAACAGGACCCGAAAAAACAGCGAGGGGAACCCCCCTTGCAGCGGCACCCCCACACCCACGAGTGTCGGCGCCCGGGTGGGCAAATGCACGGGCGAACACCCACGGAGTGGAGATACCTTTACATATATATATATATATATAAATGTATATATTTTGTACATACCGACATCTGCGTGCGCCCCTCGCACGCCCAGGCGGGCACGGCTACACCCCACACCCGCAGCGGGCACTCAGGGCTGTCACGCGTGGGCACCCCCAGGGCCGTACGGGGAGCTTGGGGTGTCCCCCATCCCCTCCCGCAGCCCTCGTCCCCCTGGCGCTGCCTGTGCCGGGACACGCGTGGGCTCCGAGCGCTCCGAGCCGTCCCTCGGCTTCTCCCGGCCGGCTCGGGCAGCCCTGCCAGCGGAGGGGGACAAATGCGGGGGGGGAGAGGGGATTTTTCCACCGCGATCCCAACTGTGGGGTCCCCCCGCAGAGCCCCGCTTGTCCCCTGGCAGGTACCCCGCGATGAACCCCGCTGCCCACGGGGTGAGGAGAAGGCTCGGCAGGGCCAGGGTGGGCACTGGGACCGGCGCGGGGGGCTCGGGGCCACCGAAGGTGTTTGGAAAGTGACCCCCGAAGTCTGACGGGGAGCTTCGGCTGCGTTTTTAGAGTGGGGGTGAGCTGCTTGGTTTGGCTGGGGGTGTCCCCTGTGCCTCCCAGCCAGGGTGGAGGGATGTGCTGTCCCCACGGTGGCATCTGCCCCAGCCCAGGGCTCGCAGCTCTTGGGTGGGAAAGAGAAAATCAGGGGGCGAGGGGTGCAGGGGGACACCCCACTCCGCTCCAGCCTGCAGAGCGCAGCCGGGGGGGTGTAAATCACTCGTGAGAGGGTGTAAATCTCCTCCGGCTGGCTCTGGGAGCAGCAGGTCCGGAGCACCCGGGGATTTCTCTGGGAGGATGCAGTTGGAGCCGGCTCCGGGGGCTCCCTCCCATCACCTCCCCGCCCCACCGGACCCCGCTCCAGGCCTGCCCTAAGCAGCATCCCCGCGTTCAGGCCTGGAACCTCGCTCTGGCCGGCTTTGGGGCAGGGTTTTCCCGGGAATGCCCCGAGCTCCGGCCCGCAGAGCGCGGCCTTTCCCCTGCGGGGCCGAGAGGGGCCCGGCCGGGCTGTCCCCGCTCCCCCCGGGGCTGTCCCCGCTCCTCCCGGGGCTGTCCCCGCTCCTCCCGGGGCTGTCCCCGCTCCCCCCGGGGCTGTCCCCGCTCCCCCCGGGGCTGTCCCCGCTCCCCCCGGGGCTGTCCCCGCTCCTCCCGGGGCTGTCCCCGCTCCCCCCGGGGCTGTCCCCGCTCCCCCCGGGGCTGTCCCCGCTCCCCCCGGGGCTGTCCCCGCTCCTCCCGGGGCTGTCCCCGCTCCCCCCGGGGCTGTCCCCGCTCCTCCCGGGGCTGTCCCCGCTCCTCCCGGGGCTGACGCTCTGTGCCACCCCGCTCCGCAGGGCATGGAGGGCATCAAGGTGTTTTTGCACGAACGCGAGCTGTGGCTGAAGTTCCACGAAGTGGGCACGGAGATGATCATAACAAAGGCCGGGAGGTAAGAGCAGGGGGGGTCCGCGGTGGCCTCCGTGTTTGCGGGGACGGGGGGGACACACCCGCCCGGATGGGGGGCAGTGGGCACCTCCCTGGCACGGACACAGCTCTGGTGTCCGAATCTCCCCGTGTGTGTGTGTGTGCCACTGCCCGGCCATGGAGAGCCCGCCCTGCCTGCACAGAGGCGGCACGAAGTGTTTCTTCTGGCTTCTTTCTAAACCAGAACAGTTGGATCATTAATTCCGACTTCAGGCCTTTGGAAACTTTCCAGGCGAACGCGAGTTGCAACCACTTGGCCAAAAAGCAAACTTTGTTTAGAGCAGCTCGGTGGGCCACTATTATTATTATTATTATTATTATTATCATTATCATTATTATTATTACTACTACTATTACAGTTTGGCTCTTCTGCTCCCCCCCTCCCAAGTTTTATGCCGTTTTACAGAGTTTTAAATTTATTTTTGCTGACTCTGGGGCGAATATTCCCAGCCCAGCCACTTCACCCCTTTTAAAAATCTATGCGGTCTTAAGCTAGTGTTTATAGAGAGATAACAAAGCTGTTTAGATGCACAGATAGATGCGTCCGCAAATCAATATCATGTGGGTGTATTTCTATGCGGGTGTTTATCTGCGTGGGTGTGCGGGAAAATATGCAGCCTTGCAAATCCAACTTTATTGGGGTTCTAATCTATTCCATGACAGGCTGTGTAAACCTGATCCGCAGATATTTATATGTGGACGCGGGTATTTTTGAGGGGATTTAACATTATCCTGGATATTAATGTGGTGGAGGGTTGTTAAATTGAAGAGTGGCCAGCGAGACGCAGTAAAAGAGTCTCTCCAGTCCTATCAACAAATTGGGGGCAGCCCGAGGGAGGATTTTTCGTTGTGATTTTCAATTAGAATCCTTGGCGAAAAGGAGAAAAAGCTTCCACGTGTAGGAATAGTTTTAGATTGTAGGGACACAGTCAACAAGGCAGAGACAAACTTTCATTTTGCCTCTGTCATCTGGCATTTGTTGTGGTCTTCCAAAATTTGCCTGAAGAGGGAGGGGGAAAATAATTACCGAGCTGGTTGGATAAAGTTTTAGCGAATAGATCTCGCCTTCCCCTTGAACCTCGCTGCTGCAAAAACGGATTTCAAAGGGGTTTGTGGCCAAGGGGACGTGGGATGAAGTGGGGGGGGGATGAAGTCGGTGTTGGGATCTCCCGAAAAAAAAAACCAACTCGGTTCACAGGGAAAAAAATAATAATAAAAAATCCAACCCTCGAAGGGAGACAGAAACCACCTTGCAGAAATTCCAAACAAAAATCGCTGTGGACAGAGATCTCATCTGGAGAGCAATAAAAGAGACATTTACAGGGCAGGGGCTCGAGGGGAGATGCGGGCTCGGTTTCCTCATTTATATCATTGCCCGTGTTTATTGTTGAAGTCCCTGGTTCTGCTGCTCAGGTGTTTTCGATGGAGTTACAGATTAATCTCCAGGAATTTGGTTTCTTCTCCCTTAAAATCTTAAAGTTCAGGGCTCGCTTCCTTCGTTGGGCGCTTTTCGCCCCCCTTCAACTTTTTACAACCGAATTAAAGCCCAGCCCAGGTGCCCCACGGCAGCGATAAGAGCCCGAGCCGCAGAGAAGAACGCGATATTTTTAGAGGTGTGGGGTTTTTATTTTTGAGGATTTTTTTTTTTTCTTGTTTATGCCTGTTTTAAATCCGGGACTCCATTTTCATCTGCTTTATTTTTAAATATTTGGAAAGCTCGAACTAAAATAACAGCAGTGGTTTAAGTGCCTGCCTTGCAGTAATGGAAAATATTTCGAAAAGCCCCTGCCTTGTGTGTATCCCAGGGTTTCCAAGGATTTGTCAGGTGTGTTTGCTGCTTTCTCAGGGTGATCACGGATTTTCTCTTACACCTGAGTGCGTGAAGGGTTTTTTCCTCCGTATCTGTCCCCAGAACCTCAAGGTGTTCATATAAATGTATTTTAAACTGTTTATATTTCTATATATGTAATATATGAGAAAGTATTTCTATAAACATATACATTTATAGAAAGACATATTTTTTATAGAAGTATCTATATTATAACTTTTATTTTATTTTAAAACTTTTTTTTTGGCAAATTTCCTCTCCTGTTCCAGCAGTTTATGGAGGGAGGGAAGTAACTTGCTTCCAGAAGTTCTCACGCTCAGATTTGTTCAAAAAAACGGAGATTCAAAACCTCGGTGAAAGAAATAGTTAGTAAAAATAGGAATAGACGAGCAGACACACTAGGAGGTGAATAAACAAACCCACCAGCCTCGAAATTCCGATTTTGCTTTAACAAATCACCCGGTTCTCCTCGGATGGGACCCAGCACCCCTCAAACTTGTCCCACATGCCAAGGGGAGGGTTTCGGGACGATCCACCTGGGAATGTGGTGCTGCCCTTTCGTTAAATGTCCCCCCCTCCCCTGAGTCTCCTCCCCGCACGCAAAACCACCTTGGCAAACTTTCTCTGCTTTTATACTTCTATTTATTTACTTATTTATTCATTCAACAGGCGAATGTTCCCCAGTTACAAAGTGAAGGTCACTGGACTCAATCCAAAAACCAAGTACATCCTGTTGATGGATATTGTACCGGCGGATGACCACAGATACAAATTCGCGGATAATAAATGGTAGGCGCGCGTGGGGGAGAACCAGAGAGGGGAGGGACCGGAGCCCTGGGCTGCCAGGGCTGGGGAGAAACCCTTCAGTCAGCGGCTCGTCCTTCTTTTTCCACGCAAAATGTTGGGAGCATCACCTGAGCGTAGCGGGATGTTCCCACAGCCCCTGTGGGAGAAATGCATCCAAAAATAAAAATGGGAAAAACCGCAGAAATTCTGTCGCAACTAACGAATCCCGTTCGACGATGAGATTATTTGCTGTTGTGGAGCTGATGGTTTAATTGTATTAAGGAAGGGAATAGCTCCGGGCAGGAAGATATTTAAGGATTTGTTTGCTCCTGGCTCCATGGCCATTTATCGGGGGAAGGATGGGGTTAAAGGCAAGGGGAGAGAGACACCTCCGACGGGAAAGGTGCCAAAGAGCTCAGTAATTCCGCGAGCCAGCGGCATTGGAAATGCCTTTTCTCCCCGGGCACGGGGTACCTGAGTGGGAGGGAGCCCCCGGGAGGGGATGGACGAGACCGGGGTGCTCCCGGGAGGGGATGGATGAGACCGGGGTGCTCCCGGGAGGGGATGGATGAGACCGGGGTGCTCCCGGGAGGGGATGGACGGGAGCGGGGAGGCCCCGGGCCGTCCCCACGTGTCCGGAGCTGAGCCCCGTGTCCCCACACAGGTCGGTGACAGGCAAGGCAGAGCCGGCCATGCCCGGCAGGCTGTACGTGCACCCCGATTCCCCGGCTACCGGTGCCCACTGGATGAGGCAGCTGGTTTCCTTCCAGAAGCTCAAACTCACCAACAACCACCTGGATCCCTTCGGACATGTAAGTACCGGGGCTGGGACGAGGGCACCGTGCGTGTCCAGCAGCCACGAGGGGTGTCACCCCCCACCGAGGCCGTGCCAGTGTCACCCACCCTCAAACCCAGGGGTGGTGGGGTGGGGTTTTCACCCCTGAGAGAGCGGGATGAGCCCCACCGAGCATCCCCCAAAAATAGAATCGTAAACCTTGAACCCGGGTTGTTTGGTGGGAATTGATTACGGACCCCCGTGGCCTGGAGTTCGCGAGTGGGTGAAACTCTTCTGGTTTACTTGAATATTTGGTACCTGATTTTAATTGCACCGGGAGTCCCGGATCGTTAAAATCCGCCCGCTGCCTCCGGGAATTTGCCTAACAGGTAAAATCAATCAGGCATAATTAGCGGAGGAAATAAGACCTAAAACGATGTGGATTCCTCGATCGGGAAAAAAAAAAAATAAAAAAAAATAACACTAACTAAAGACAATTAGAAAAATTGAAGTCCCGCTAAAACTTCTTGGGCATTAAAAAGGTCTTTGCGAGGCTCGTGGGGCCGGGAAAATTTGTGTGAGTTCTGCAGCCAGGAACAGTTTTCCTTCAAAGGTCTCCAAAGATGCGAGTTCCTCTGAGCAAATATATATGTGCATGTATGAGTAATATATACATATATGTAATTGAACGAATATGTGAATCCAGATCCCACCAGCCCTTTTCAAGAGCGGATTTTTTCTCCAGTCTCGTTTCAACACTTCAGTTTCACTTTTTCCAAGTTTTTTTGTTTGTTTCTCTTCGCTATTTAATGATAAATTTTGTGCCATGAAATCCTCGCCCACGTGGTAGCCAAGAAGTGAGAGGGGTTTAGGGGAGAGGAGCCAGCAGAGTCCCCAGCCCACCCCAGTGCTGAGCATCCTTTTACAAGCTCTCCTTTGCACCTCCATTTGCGGGGGTTGATTTCCTTTTTCGTTTTTTAATTCGAATTTTAGTTTAGTTCTACCTCGAGCTGGTGGCAAAGGGATTTGCAAGGGCCGCTTCCCAGGGATCAGGACCTTTCCTGACAGGAAGAGGGAGGGGAGCAGCGCAGCCGGGGGAACCCATCCCACCCCCGGGGTGCTTTTGGGGAGAAGGGGGGGATCCGGCCCGGGGGGAAGGGGCCAGGCATCCCCGCTGGGAACAGGCGGATCTGGGGAAAAAGTCCCTCTAAACAAACCGAAGACGCTGAGGGGACAATAAGGGACTTCAGAGGAGGAGCTGCGCCAGAAGCCTCTCAATTAGAGTCGCTGTAATGAAATTAAAAACCATTAGATCGTTCACCGTTGATGTCTACGACTTTCCTGGATGTCAAAGCAATTTGCTTAAACCCCCGGGACGGGGGAGGCGGCGGCGGGACGCGCTGCGTCTCTCTGTCGCCAGGGTCCGGCAGTCATTATCGGGCCCGAGCGGCCCCCCGCCGCCGCCACCGCCCCCCATCTTCCCCCGAGATTAACCCGGTACCGAGCAGGGCCCGCTTTTTATCGGGAACACCGCGCTCCAGCCCCTCCCGGCTCCGCCACCGTCCTCTCCTTCCCGTCCTCTGCTGGCGGATGTTCCTAAATCCCCAAATCCCTCCGGCTTTCTTCTCTCGCCCTTTCTTCTCTCTTTACCCCCCTGGGATGGATGGGGGTGTTGAGATGCCCAGGGCCCCATTTGCCCCCAGCAGGTGTTGGGGGAGCAGCTGAACCCTCAGGGGATTGTGCGGGCAGGGCTGGGGAGGGGGGAGCAGGTGAGGAAACGCCTTTCCCAGCACCTCCCGGCCCTGCTGGGCTCCTGGTGCGGGTTCTGGAGGGATCCCTGTCCCTTCCCCAGCACCTCAACCTGCCCTCCGAAGGGAGCCCTGAAAAGGATGAAGACTTCGGGAAGGTGCTGCAGGTTCCTGCCGTTTTCTGTCCTTCTCCTCCCCTGGGAAGGGATGGGATGCGCCGTGCTGTGCCCCCTCCATTCCCACAGGATGTCCTCTCCTTCTCCCCTTGCCCAGATCATCCTGAACTCCATGCACAAGTACCAGCCCCGGCTTCACATCGTGAAAGCGGACGAGAACAACGGCTTCGGTTCCAAGAACACCGCCTTCTGCACCCACGTCTTCCCGGAGACCGCCTTCATCGCAGTCACCTCCTACCAAAACCACAAGGTGAGGGGCTGGGCCGGCCCCCGCCCCGGCAAACCGCATCCCGCTCCTTCCCTCTTCCCGCTGCTCCTCCTGAGGGGCTCGGCTCCTCTTCCCTCCCTACTCCTTTCACTCCTTCTTTTTCTTTTCCCCTTTTCTTTCCTTCCTTACTTCTCCTTTTCCCTTTCTTTTTCCTCTCCTTTCCCCCCTCCTCTTCCTTGTCCCCTTCCTTTTCTTCTCCTTGTCCTCTTGTCCTTTCTTCTTCTCCCCTCCCCCTCAATCCTTTTCCTTTCCCTCCTTCTCCTTTATCTTCCCCTTTCTTTTCCTTGTCCCCTTCTTTCTCCTATCCTTGTCCCCTTTTCCTTTCCCCTCCCTTGCCCTTTTTCTTCCTCTCTTCTCCCTTCCCCTTTCGTCTCCTCACATCCCCATCCCATCCCCTCTGTTATTCCTGGCCACACAAAGCATCCACAGCCAGGCTCGGGGCGAGCCGGGGAAGGGGGAATGAGCTCACCAGGATGCTCTGCTCACACGGAGACGACCAACCGAGGAAGTTTGCTTTATCTTCCCCCCTCCCCACGGGTCAAAGGCTCCTAATCTGGAGGAGGGAGCCGGGCGCTCCCCTCCGCGGCCGGGCGCTGATAACCCGGCTGCCCACGGGGGGCTGCGGGCTCGGCAGCCGGGAGGCCCGGCCAGGAAAGGGAGCCTCAGCTCCCGAGTTCAGGCAAACAAAGCACGAAAATAACGGGATGGCTTTGTCTTCTGCTGGAATAGAAAAGGGTTGGGTGGAATAAGGGTTTTCTTGGCGTGCTGTCGCTGCCCCTCTGTGAGGAGCTCGCTGCTCCCGCTCCTTCCCTGCCTGGTTTTGGGCTTCCCCAGCCAGCAGGGGAGGAGGAGGAAGGCTGAAGGTTTAGGGCAGGGTGGTTCTCCTCAGATCAGTCAGGGATGTCTTTCAGCAACTGTCCCTTGCCACTGCCCACAGACCCTCTCTGGGGCACAGCCCCATGAAAACTCAATTTCTTTCAGCAAAAAAGCTAATTCTTCTCTTAATCACATAAAAAGCACTTACTATGAACTTGTACTTGCAGGCAGGTAGGGTGGCTCCTCTGTACCCGGTATAATAATTGTTTCTCAGACAGAAAAAAGTCATTTAGCACCCCAAATAAATCCTGGATGCTTTCCTGGAAATGCAGGTTCCTAAACCTGTGTGAAACAATTGCATTTCCTCCATCCACCAGCTGACCAGCAAGATGTAGAGAGCAGAGCTGGGCTGCAGAAGAAAGAGTGTTCCACCATAACTAGGGAGAAAGGAAAATACTTCCCTGCCCTTTAAAATAGGAGCTGCTGGCACAGCTGGGACAAGCAAACCGAATCCAAATTGAGTCCTTGCCAAATTATGCCTTAAATTATAACTCCACTGTGGATGCTATAAAATCAAGTTTAACTTCTGCTTGATGGATTTGGAGAAAGAATATAATATTAATAGAAGTGGGAGTTAATAAAACAGGACACACTGCCTGCTTTAAAGGCATTTGCCAAGGAGAAAACAGACGTGAATGGAACTGTTCTCCTTTGAAGAAAAATGGGGCTGTTTTATAGGAAATGATCATGCAAATAAAACAAAAGCAAAGCAGGAACATGTAAGTACAGTAGTTTGGGAAAACTGCCATGCTAGGAGGAGCAGGAATATTTGATTGTAAATCAGCAACATCTGTGTGATAAGAAATGACATCTGTGCATCTGACACAGGCAGGAATCCCCACAGCCACACACACTCCCAGCCCAGCAGACACTCGCACCCACCAGGACACATTTTACACACCCCTGACACGTTTTACAGGCTCTGACATCCCTCTGCCCCCTGACACACACATTCCACCCTGTGCTGCTTGGAATCGAGGGGGAATGGAGGAAAAGTGGCTGTAGCCCCAAGATAAAATCCCAATTGGGAAAGATAGAGTCATAAAAATAAACCAGGGGATGATCTTCCCTAAGTGGCATCTCCCTGCAGGGGAGGGAAGACAATTTGTAGCTTGCCCCAGTGCATATGGGGAATGATATTGGGGTTGATGCAAATGCTGAGGAGAAACATCCTCCAGCTGAGGTGGGTGAAACTGAGTTGGAGCCTTTTCCACCAACAGAAACCTGAGCTCAGCTTTCACAGCTGAGAAGTTGCTTGGAAAGCCAGATTTTCCTCTTGCAAAGCAGGCTGCACTTCCCCCTGCCATAAAGGATGGCAGCCCCCTGATGTGTGGGGCATCCCCAGCTCTTGTGTCAGTGCACAGCTGATTTCTCCCCATTTTCCTCCCCCACCTTCATCCCTCACCTGTAGCTCATCCCTCACGCAATCTTCCCCATCCACCCCACCCAGCCTCTGGCATATTTTACACGAAGTTTTATACACCCATGTATTTTACGCACACAAATTCATCCCTGCATGGGGTTTAGGTTTCAAGAGCTCTGTTATAGCTGAATTCTATTACAGAATTAATTGTGTGACTCACCCCAAAATGCATTTGAGTCCATGCTTACACAGCTTATAGAAATACCTGCCTGCTTCCAGATAGGTCAATTTATTTCAAGAGCACAGCTGCAATCCCAGTGCAGGGCTTGTGCTTATTTCCCCTGATATTTTAGAGAGCCTGAAAAGATATTTAAGCACCCTGAGATCTCCCTCTCCTCGGCCCTACTCCCCAAAAAGAGGCTTAAGCTATGAAGAGAGTTTTGGTGAAGTTTTCAGGGCGGTTGTCAGCAGCTCCACTGGTCACCTCCCCCCTCTCTGCTACCCTTAAAAACACCCCAGAAATATCGAGGTGTTAAAAAAGGTCACATGCACATTTCATTTCCTTGCCATTTACACAATGGGTGCTTGCAATCAGGTTGATTCCCAAATATTAACTTCTCCTGCAGTTAAGCACCGTTTTGCTGTAGCTTAAATCATTGGCTTGTATTTATTAGGTACGAGCTCTCTGCTTAGGACCAGGAAATGAACCTAATAGACAGAAATAATTAAGGTTCTGCCCTCACGAGGGTTCTTTCAAAAACAAGAATTCACAACAATTATTCTCATTAATTTTTACAACCTACCTTCCCCCTTAGTTGGACTTGGGCTTTATATTGATTCCCCCCCTCAGGATATCCGGTTTTATGCTGATTTTTTTTTTTTTTTACTCCACCCTAAGTTATTTAACATTCTTGGTAGCCAAAATTCTTTTGAGGAAACATTAGCCCTAGGTGGGATGCTACAGACACCCAGAAATGCTGCGTGCAGCAGGGCAAAGCAGAGGAGCAGGGCAGGGCATGGCTGAAGGCTGGACTCACTCCCAGACACCTGGTGGGATTCCTGGATACAGAGGTTCATTCTTCCCCTAAAAAGATCCAGGGCTAAAATCATGCTGCTGGGTGAGCTGGTGCTCCATTCTGGGGAGTTCTGGAGAGCTGCCTGTCCCCTCTGAGATGTGGCTTCTTGTTCTGTGTTTGAGGGCTGGAGCTGGGCAGGTCCTTGGGTGTGAGGTGTCTCCATTTTCCTTGTCTTAGGTTGCAGGTGGCCACCAGTGTGGTGTCCTGGCTGGCATCTCATGGGATTCCTCTGTGCAGTCCCCCAGCTCGCCCTGCCCCGCCTGGGGCCATCATCCCTGTGTTTCTCCATCTCGTTGGCAAGAGGGGACAGCCCCTCTCCTTACCAGGGCAGACTCCTCTCCAAAGAGGGGTCCCCCAGGTGCTGAGGGAGACAGAGCTCCATGGGCTTAGGCAAGGTTAGACCAAGTAGCTCCTCTTCACCACCAGATCTGGTGACTCCTGTGCAGCCCTCGGGCACCTGAGGATGGCAGTGAGCTGTCCCTGACCCTCTGTGGGTGCCTCACATCTCTGCTCTCAGATCCTCAGTGCTGTTCCAGGCCTTGGTGGGACAAGACCTTCCAGAGGTCTCATGCCCTTCACAGCTGTGGCTGGGCCAGCCTTGTTTCCTCCTGTCCCCAGTCTTGTCCCTGCTCCCTGCCAGCCCTGAGCCCCTGGACCCTTTTGGTCCCCAAAGCAGCCCCTCTCCTCAAGCTTGGCAAGGACAGCCTCTGGACCCATGATCCTTCCTGCCTGCAGACTCATCTCCTTCCCCCAAAGCACTGTGCCAAGTCTCTCCTTCCATCCTTCGTCCCTGTGTCCCAGTTCAGCCAGCAGCCTCCTCAATGAGCCCCTCTGTCTCACCCCAGTACCTCCAACCAGCCTCCCAGTCCCTCCCATTTCCTTCACTGGCTTTGGGTCCAGCACCTTCTCCCTTCTGCCAACAACTCCCCCCTCTCCTCCCTTCTGCTGGCCTTTACCTCGGGCTCTGAGTCCCAGCTCCCCATCCAGCTCCTCTGCTTGGCCCAGATGTTCATGGGCTCAGCAGGCACCTTGTCTTCATCTATTTCTCTTCTTCCCACTCCTCTGGGAAGTGGATTCTTCCCCTCCTTCTCCATCCTGCCTTGGTTTCCACCTGGGCTTTCACGAGAGCAGGAAAGACAAAGTCTCTGTGCTCTCCAGCCGCAGGGCCAGCCTGCTGTGGCTCCAGCACTGCCAGCTCCAGTGCTGGCATGGCTGGTCCTGGTCCCTCTGCCACCCTGAGCAGGACTACGGCCACCTGCAGGCCTGGGAGAACATGATCCCCATGGAGAGGGGAGGTCCATGCACCTCTGCACCTCTCATGGGTGATCACCTGCATCTCTTCATCACTAAATGGTGATTTTTCTTTTCCCCCATCAGTTTTAAGTTGTCCAAGTGGCATAGATCTGAGAGAGAACTCAGAAATTAAGGATCCACATTCCTTGCAGAACATGAAGTCCTTTTCCAAAATGCCCAACCTTTCTTAGTTTCAGAAGAGCCCAAAGAGATCAGGCTGTAGTGTTTTCCCTTAGCTGAAGTACTTAAAAACAGTTGATTGCAAAATAAGTAAATAAAATAGAGCCCAGAGCACCTGGTGCACATCACCCCTAACAATGTTTTAACTTTGTTCCAACTTCTAAAGTGAGAAGCATTTGAGAAAAATCTTATAATGGTAAGTTCTTGACAGAAAATAATACAAAATGGTAGTTTTGATTTTGGCCATGATGATATTCATGAGCCCTTAGGCACAAATCCTATATAAATACACGTCTGTGGAAAAGGAAAAAGAAGCAAAGCATCTTTCCTCAACCTAACTCAATGCAAAGCTAGATTTTGTCATGCTGGAGCTGGAGACGCTGTTGGGAAGGTCTCAGCAGAAGAACTTCATGGTCAATTAGCCAAGGGAAGGGAGTGCAGGGGAGCAGCCCAGGGATTCCTTTGGGATTCCCAATTCCATTGGGAACTGTCACTTCCCATTAAAGTGAAGATGAACCCATAGGTCAGACAAGCCCTGAAAAGTGGAAATCTGGGAGGCTTCACCCGGCAAAGCTCTGGTCTCCAAGGGTCGTGGCAGCTTCAGGAACCAGTGAAGCTTCGCCGTCGGTTTCCGTCAGTAACAAATACGCAAACAAAGCCCTTCAGTTTTATTGAAGCTCTGCTGTATAATTCAGCCCTGGGCACTCTGTCTTAATGACCTCGCAGGACGTTGTATTTTGTTTTATTTTTCATGAGGTAATTGTCATTTGACTTTCTGACAGCTTTTCTTCCCCCCGTCCCCCCATGAGTTATAGTCAATTAAACTCAGTTTTGCTGTGGCCAAGCTGATCCAGAAGGAGGTTATTTCCACCCCTGTGTTTGCTTTTCCACCTCTGAAATAGTTTGGAAGTCAGGCAAAAAAGTGGCCAAGTGAAATATCTTCCACAGGTTGTTTGCTCAAGCAGGGATTCACCAGTTTTTTCTCTATTTTCTAGTTTGTTGTGTACAGTTCTGTTAAATCTGGCTTGGGCTCTCCTGGCTTTGTGGTGGCTGATGCCATGAGTTGTCACCTAGGGGAACTTTGTTCTGGAAGCTCCAATCCATCTGAAGTACACCAAAGGTCTGAGAATTAATTCTAAACCTGCAGTCCTTGGTTTTTAGATGCCTTCAATCCAGAAGATCCTTAATTTTAAGGAGGCTGAGGTTGATGTGATTCTCTTGGGGCTTTTGGCCACCAGCATCAATGCCTTTGCTTGGAAGTATGTTTGTCACGTGGGTTAGGGGTCTTCTCTACTCCTAAATCAACAGATTTGCAATACTGGGGTCCCATTTTGATATTTTGGCTGCTATTTCATGGGTGACTAAAAGCTTGAAGAATCAAATGGGGCATTCAACTGAGGTGCTTAAACGAGGGGCCGGAGCACTGCTGGCTCCTCCTCCTGGGAGCAGAGTGCACTGGGGACCTGTGAAGGCACTGCCACCCACCCCTGAGCCCTCTGGCAGTCCCCATCTCCCTCCCTGGACTGGAGCAGGGAGCCGAGGCTCCCAGTGCCGGCGCCTCGGTTAAAATGCCTTCGGTCAGCTTGGGATGAATCCGGCCCTTTGTGCCTTTGTGTGCTGGTGCCAATCCTGTAAATCCTCACTCACTGAAGGACTTCACTTATGTGAGCAAATATTGCCATTGGGGTCGGTGAGGGAGGACAACTCCTACATTTACAGGGCTTCAGGAACATTCAAAATGTTGAATAATGCCTATTAGTCTAGAAGAGTCACCACCTTCAAACCGATAGGCAGTGGCTTTGCAAAATACAGAGCTGGTTGTGTAATAATTTGGGGCTTTTAATTACAAAACACGCCTCTGTTTTATTGCTAGAGAATGGCTCAACTGGCAAATTGACCCCAAAAGATTGTTTGTTTACCCTTCTCTTTGAAATCTGAAATGAGGGACCAAAAAAAAAAAAAAGTGCCAAGGGCTTGTTTATGTGCTGAAGTATGGTCCTGATTTAATGGGATTGCCTGTGGAGATTAAGTGTGTGGTGGGGGGCTCTGTGAGAAATTTGGGGCTGAACGAGGCAAAAATGGCAAATAAACAAACGGTCCTTGGAAAAAAGTATGCAAAAAATACAAGAAAAGAGCAAAATAATCTGGTTGTGCATACACCTGGCGAGGCTTGCTATTGACACTGGGCGAGCCAGATTTTCCTCTTTGGATTTTGGCAGGAAGGTGGGGCCAGTTGTTTGTGCTTGACTTGGTGAACATGAACTTCTCTCTGTTCTCCCTCTGTTAATCCTGAGCTCTTCCCTTCCCCTTGGCCAGCTTTTGATAGGAAGGAAGGGAAGGGGTTTCCATAAGATGTGGTGAGAGCGTGAAGTGGCAAACACGGAGTTTTGTCTTACCTCCTGGGCAAGTGTCTCTCCTGATTCCTTGCTGAGAGCTCAGACTGCCAGGCAGTGATGGAGAAAAGAGAAAAAAAGGGAACTTTTCCCTCTTCTGCCCAAATTTTGGGGCTTTGCAGCACTATCACACCTGATCCAGGCTCAGTCCTGTGCTGCCAAGGCACCAAAGCATTTGCATCAGATTTGGCAAGGCAGGGCGAGTTTTTACAAAATCCACAGGGCAGCGGAGGATTTTGCTGGTCCACAATTAATATTGGCTTAAATGACAAACCCTGCTCACCAAAACCCTCAGGAAAAGCAGTGCAGGAAGGCTCTTGGAGCAGCACAGTCCCTTTGGGTAAGGGCATGGTCTGTCCAGCAGCTGCTTTAAATGTTAAATATAGATGTTTTTAGAGGCCCAAAGTTGAGTCTGAGTGGATTCATCTGGCTAAACTTTAGATTCTCAAGGTGGGCAAACCGGAATTAATGGGGAGACAAAAAATCCTCCAGGGTTTGATGGTCACACGTGAAGTTGCCCTCAAAGTCATTTAGGTAATTAGTCCAGTTAGGTGTGGGGCAGGTGGCAGATGCAGAGCACCTGGAGCACATTTGGCTGGTCTGAAATACCCAAAGGGTGAGCTTCACCCTGCTGGGAGAGAGGGTGCAGGGTCTGAGGTTCTGGTCTTGCCTGTGCATCGATGAGGAAAGTATTGTTGGGATTTGTTCAGACCCTGCTTCCATCCCTGGTCCTCTGAACAGTGGGGCCCTTTCTGTCCCAACAGCAAAATGCAAGTAAGAACTCTCAGAAAGCAGATTTTCTCCAGAGAAAAATGTGTATGAGCAGTTCCACGTGTTAGTTATGGGACAAGCCTGGGAGAAGCGAGAGGCTGTTGACAGGAGATATTTTTCTGGTGGAGCATTCTAGGGAAAGGCCCATCTGGAGAGGTCAGTGAGCTGAGGGATGGCTGGAGCTCCTGCAAGCTGCATTTTCCCTCTCATCCCACCTGCCTTGGGTTTAATAACCACTCTCCCCTCTCTCCCAGGCCATGCCTTGGACTGGTGATGACCCCGTTGCGTTTCCTCCCTTTCAGATCACCCAGCTGAAGATTGAGAACAACCCCTTTGCCAAAGGCTTCCGTGGCAGTGATGACATGGAGCTCCACAGGATGTCCAGGATGCAGAGGTAACGCATGTCACCCTCGTGGGGACCCTGCCAGGGTCACCAGAGACACCTGGGCTTTGCTTGCCAGGCTTGGCCTGAGCCAGGACATGGTGCCACTCCCTGCCTTGGCACCTGCATGGGTGTTCTCCATCAGGTTGTTGGAATATTCCCAGGATGTGGGGCCAAAATCCTGGACCTCCTGCTCCTTCTGCTCTTAATTCCTGGGTGGCAGAGGTAGGACCTCAGCTGTGGGACTTTACATTTCTTTCAGACAAGTTCCCATCCAGAAAAACCTTTGTACTAAACTCTCACCTCTGAGGCTGCTGCATGTGGACCCATTAAAAACTTGGAGTAGCTGGGAGGAGCTCTGGCCACCAGGCCACTGTGGAAGAGTTCCTGAGTGTTCTTTCCTCTCAGGTGACAGTGCTTTCAAGACAAAGCTCCCAGCCTTGTTTTGGGAGCAGGTTTTTTAAGGATGCTCCGCTTGCCTCTGGAGATGGTGGTGGAGAGTCCTGTGCTCTGTTGTTACTGGCTTTGGCAGGAGGGGAGTGTTTGCCTGCTCAGTTCTGGATGTGCAGAGGTGTGGTGGTTTCAGGTTGAAGAAGGAAAGGTTAGAAAATGTTGGGATCTCCAGGGCCAGGTGGCTGAGGAGACCTTTTTGAATCTTGGGTTTGGCTGCAAGTACTTAAGCTGAAAACTAAGCCTAAGTCTTGTTTGAAAATCCTGTTTAATGTCCCTTTCTAAATGTCAGGTCCTGCTGGTAATTAACTTTATGCTTTTCCCTTCACTTGGAACTTTCTCCATGTGTCAAGCTGCTTCCTGGTGCAAATGTTTTGCAGGAATGGTGCCATACCCATAATTCAAACTAAGACAGGCAGAGATTCTCAACAGAGCGTTTTCCAGGAGGGGAGGAGCCTCTCGGATCCTTTATTCTCTGGCTCCTGCTGGAGGGACCTGTTTTGGGATCTTCTGCTGGGAGGGTTTTTCCCACTGCCCACCCAGGAGCCAGCCATAGGTGGTCACTTCTGGTTGTTGTAGCTGATGACCTGAGCATGGCTCTCCATAGCCAGGAAAATTGTGCTGTCAGGCACCGAATAATTCCTACAATCCTGCAAACACACCCAGAACCCACCTCAAACTGGGCAAATGTCCTCCTGTATACAAACATGCTCAGGCTCAGCCCCAGCAAAGCCAAGATAGATGTATAAAAAAGGTATATGTAACACTTAATCTGCTCCATCCAAATCATCTCCGTGGTCTCCTGAATGTGCCCTGTGTTCCCTGCCTGCCCTTTCCAACAGATCCCGGCAGGATCTGTCAATATTTATTTATTTATGGTGGCACTACCAGTTGAAATAACTCCCTCCAGCCCGTGCCAGTCTCCTAACTTCTGCTGGAACTTGAGTGATGATGTGTCCCCCCCAGTCTTACTCTGCTGCCAAACCAGCCTTTCACTACAGGCACTGGAAAGATTTGAAGGTTTGGATTCACAGGGCGTTTTTTTTTGGAGCAGGAGGGAGGAGGTGGAACAGGGAGGATTCTTAGCAAGGGCTCGGTGCCATGTGAAGAGCATGGCATCAAGCCACGCTGAGCCCCTGCTAAAAACTGATTGGCATTTTTATGCAGGGGTTGTGGTCAATGATGCAGGGAACAGAAACACTTGGAATATATCAATCTACCCACTCAGGCCTGGCAGGGCTGGAAGGGTTAAAATCGTTGCCTTTACTGGATAATTTCTGATGTTCATTTTTATAACTTAGCAGAGGAATGGCTGTGTGCCTTTACAAAGGTGGCATTTTTTTAAGGGAGGGCAGGATAAGATGATTATAGTAAAATAAAGAGCCATTCAAGCTTGCAAATATGTGCCCACCTTTGTGGGTTTTTTATGTAGATATATGAATATATCCAAAATTATATATGAAAATATATAAACCCATATATAAAATCAGTCATATATGTAAATAAATTGTAGCTATAAAAAATAGGTTGTGTCTATGAGATAAAGAGCCATTCAGGATTGAGAATGTGGCAGAACTATGCCCTGCCTTTTGTGGGTTTATATAGATTTAACATATAAATATGTATTAAAATGTAATTAAATGTATATAGTATATATTTTAATATATAAATGTATGTTTATGACATCATTTCCCAGTGATGGACCAGACAGTCTGTCCTGGTTTTAGGGGAATGATGTCCATTTAAGCCCTTGGAGAATGTGATGGGATGCATTTTTAGTGCTATTCCTTCATTATGAAAAAAAGCAGCTGGAAAACCCCCACATTTTTGTGACAGTGCACAGCCTTTTGTACCTGACGTTCACCATGGCTTCGAGTCCATCTCTCTCCATGGCTTTCTCCTTTCCAGGGCCTCACATATTGGTTTTTCCCTCTAATTTCCCAGAAAAAAAAGTTACTAAATCTGTCTAGGTAGAACTTCATTCAGGAGTGATGTGAAGGCTTTTGGCAGCAGAGGATTTTATTGAAATAGAGAAGTCACGAGCTCCAGAGCGATCCATATTCCATGGAATGTTCATTTTCCTCCCACCACCTTTCTTTCCTGAAGCAAAAGAGGTGCCTTCAACAGCTTTTTTGGTAGGATGGACCCTCTGGGAAAACAGGTTTTTCAAAGTTTTCAAATTTCTGAGCATGAGATTGAGCTTTTTTTATTTTATTGATTATGGAAAAAAAAACCCAAAAAACTTTAAAAAAGAAAGGAAAATGCAATGAGGGATGTGAGTTTTACTGCATGACCCCATGGTAAATGCTGCAGTTTAAAAACACTAATCAGGTAAAAATGATGCTGTTGTGATGGTGGGAATTTTAGATGAAATGTTCATTTTGGATCTCCTACCCCCCTGTGCTGTAAGAATCATTTTGTCTCCACTGAGAGCTTCTGCCTGTGCCAGGAGGAATTTGGTGTGCAGTGCAGGAGCAAAACACGTGCCAGGGACCCACAGAGGGTGAAGTTCATGCAGGGACAACACCTGCATTGTGGGGCTCTGCCCTTCAAATCCCCCACTCATGAGAGTCAAAATGGGGCTGTGCTGCTAAACCATGGGGTGATTTGGGGGTTGCATGCAAGTCACAGCTTTTATTATATTCATTTTTGTCATCTGTGACTGCCAAAGGAGAGCAGGGAGGAGAGTTTGTGGGTCTGGAGCACTGAGAGGGTCGATTCTGCTCAACCCTGTGACCAATTCTTGCTGCTCATCTGCAGCTCCCATAGTCTCTGGTGGTTCTTATGGGGGCTTCTGGAAGTCTGGAAGGCCCTCGTTGTTTTGTGTTCAAATTAATGCAGTTCAGCCCTTGAAGCTTCTTATTGGGAAGGCTTTTGAGGGGGATGATGATGCTGTGAAATGGTGGCTCTTGGCTCCCTCGCTGGCTCCTCTGAGCCCTTGAAAAGTGACCAAAAAATCCAGAGTGATCCATGTGACAGGGAAGGGTGACAGCGCAGTCTGACGTTGTGGCTTTGTTTTCTCCATCAAGGATCACGAGCCAGTTTGCTGCCGTTGGCATTAATCCACAACAATCTTCTTGGCTCCAAAGGAATTATTCCAAAGATTTCCATGTGTCATTGAGAAACAGGGCCAGCCACAGAGGACACAAAACCAGATCTGTGAGTCAGAGCCAGCGTTACAGAGATGAGAGTGCATTTTGGGGCAGGAATGGATGAGCCTCTGCATTCCAGCATCCCGTTGGACTGACAGGCACCCGGCTGACTCGTGCCTGTTGGTCTTGGTCTGCTGCACATGACCTCGTTCTTCTTGTGTCTCTCACTGCTTCTTTAATCCACCTCCATTTCCCAGCTCTGTCACTGAAATCTGCCAGGAGTCACCCTCTGTCTGAAACATTTTCAGTGTGAGACTTGGTGTTATCACATCTGCTGGGGAGAGGATGTTTTCTTCCAGCACACATCCCCCAGGAAATTTTCCTGGTCCCGGATGAAACTGCAGGCTTGAAATATGTTCTGTAGAATTTGACAGAATTCAGATGAAATTTAAAAAGAAGCTGGGCAGACCTCACTTATTCACAGCTTTTTTGAAGTGAGAAAGCCACTCAAGAAACACAGGGTAGCTGCAGTTTCTGTCATTGACCTTCCTTTGGGGGATCTGAGCAGCAGGATTTGATCAGCAGAAGCTCAGCCCAGCAAGAAGGGATGAAGTGCTGCCTCTGGCTCATATCCATTCTCCAGCTCCTCTTGTGCTCTTACTCTGACATATTTTTCTGGAGAAATTTATCTTTTTATTTGCCTACTAATGAGAGCTCTTGGTCTCTGCCTGGTTCTTTTCACTGCTGGTTCTTGGTTGCAGTGCTGGCTTTGGGCTGCACTGCTCAGAGGGATTGCTAACAGATCATTGAATGGTTTGGGTTGAAGAGACCTTAAGGATCATCTCATTCCACCCCCTGCCATGGGCAGGACACCTTCTGCTATCCCAGGCTGCTCCAAGCCCTCTCCAGCCTGGCCTTGGACACTTCCAGGGATCCAGGGGCAGCCCCAGCCTCTCTGGACACCCTGTGCCAAGGCCTGCCCACCCTCACAGGGGTGGATTTTTCCCTGATACCTGATCTAAACCTATTCTGTCAGTGTTAATCCATTTCCCCTTTTCCTGTCACTCCAGGCCCTTGTAACAGTTGCTCTTCAACTTTCTTCTAGGTCACCCTGAAACCTTCTCTTTTCCAGAGACAAATTCCAATCCCAGTTCCTTTCCTCCCATCAGAGCTGCTCCATCCCTCTGGTGCCTCCTCTGGATCTGTTCCAGCAGCTCCAGGTCCCTCCTGTGCTGGGCCCCAGGGCTGGGGTGGCTCTGCAGGTGGGGTCTCACCTGGGCAGGGCAGGGGGGCAGAATTCCCCTTCCTCCTGCCCATGATGCTGGGGAGGCAGCCCAGCACGTGGGAGGTTTTATGGGTGCTGGGGCATGTCCAGCTCTCCCCCACCAGCATCCCCAATCCCTTCTCCCCAGGGCTGCTCCATCATTTCATCCCCAGCCTGGATTGATCCCGGGATTGCCCCAGAGCAGC